TGTTATTTGGCTCTTCGGTGCTGACTACCACTCTGCTTACCATGATTTCCTACAGAGCGACACGGCCTTAGAAAGCTACCCATTAGATGGAATTCCCAACAATGATGTTTGCTAGCTTACCTGGGAAGGAAGGCACATCAAAATAGCTGTTGGGAAGAAAATGTACAGAAAATGTACAATTGATATCGTGACATTCAGTCGGAACGATGTCAAGAGGCACGGAATGAGAGCATCGCAGGTGTTCTTCACTGCTTGTTTCCTTCCAGGATTGATCACCAACCAATCACTACTTGTAGGAGGACACGTCCTGCCGCTGGGGAAAAGTTTCGGAAAGTAGACATGCCCACTAATTTTGTCCTCTGATACGACCCCCACCCCTTTTCCATCCTATCCACTACTTTCCTATATTCCCACATTTTCTCAACTTTCTACCACTGTTCCAATTTGTCCGTAATTCGAAAATTTTCCGTTTTCCTCCAACCACCGAGACAAATTTTTTCCCAACGCTGCATATTTCTCTCGAAAAGCAAGTACGACCCCTTGCTCTCCAACAAAGGGTAAACACGACCACCTCCAAGGAACGAGAAAATTAACTATCAAACAGATTTTCTCCGAACAAATACGACCCTTCTCCCCCGCGACCGAATACGATTCCCGCCTCACCCTTCAACGTCATCGTCCCTGTCGACGGACAAGGATTACGAAACTGTCTCCCGCATCTGCCTTTTCTGAAGAACAACCAGGAACTTTTTTTTCTAGAGAGATTATAAATGTGCTGCGTGACTCAGGTGATTTTAGCTACATGCCTGCAAATGAGTTGTAATCTAATGTAGTTTATCTCACGTTCTTAGCAGCTGGCCGTATTCACCTTGAATGTAAGCCAGATTTCTCTGAAAAGAGCCCACGCAGCACAGATAAGAGAGGTGCGCAAGGAGATTTAGAAGACGGATTTATTATCATTCATTTCAAACGACTATTCCAATCCACCACGCCCCTTGTCACGAATGGCCAGTTGTGAGTCACCAATACAAATGAAAAAAGGGGAAAGACACGAAAATGGAAAATGGAGGAAAAAAGCAGAAACCATTAGCAGGAAATGCCCTATATGTAATCACATGCCGAAGCGCGTCCGTACGTGCCGCAGCTCAACATTCGTGATGTAGAAGTTAAGGAGTGAAGCAACCGTACCACCGGACCGTACCATCGTCGCGTGCAAGTCGCGTGTTCCTCGCGTATCTTTGAGCTTCTTGAGTGGCACTTTCTTTCGCACGCAGGATTATCATGTCCAAAGAAGGCAACCTGAACACCAAGTAAACGGAGCGTGCCTTCCAATTTGCAAAGCACTCAAGACTGGAACTAGGGGTGATCCTTTTGTTATCAGCAGTGCGATAAGTGAGTTTTCTCGTCCTGGAGCAATTTCTAGAAGCCTCCGCAACAATTTCTATTCCTAGAAAAAATGCAGTTCAAAGGAACCCCTCTAAAATTAGCACTTTCTCAACAAAAAGTTCACTTGCTTCTAGATGAACTTGCCAATAGATGCAGGTGGAGCTTGGAGCCCCAGAAATCAATAATTCGATCGCTTGTTGAATTGAAGAACGTCCATGAAATGATCAAAGTATCCAATAAATTTCAGCTTCTATACGTTTTGGTATTACAAGTCATCGTAAGGAAGCAGTATCGTCGCCTCTCGTGCTACAAAATCATGCTTGTCCTAGGTATGTTTTCTGGCGTTGTTCGTCACACGGCCTTTCCCAAAAGTATTCCAATTGAGGGAGCTTCTTCAACTTTTCTCACACGGGCGGCATTCAGTTTCACTGATAACACTTACTAAG